TTAAATTGGGATACTGGAAGTCAAAATCCTGAACAAAATTGTAAAATCATATTGTCCCAATCTCTGTCCCATTTTCAGTTTTTGAAGATGAAATTTCCAGGACCGAAATTTTACAGTTTTGACTGAATTTCTCACCCGCAACCAATTAGTAAGTCAACTATGGGTGGCATATGACACGATTGAGGTGCTGGAAGATTGATTTCGGTTGGAGGAAACCCACAGCAGAAAGCTTAACAAAACGAAAAGTTGTATTTTCAAAAGTCTGTCCCATTTTCAAATATGAAATTTTCTGAACACAAATTTGACAGATTGGATGAAATTTTTGCCCAGAAACCAATTAGTCAGTTAATTGATGATGGTATGAAACCAAATTGGGATACTGGAAGTCAAAATCCCGAACAAAATTGTAAAATCATATTGTCCCAATCTCTGTCCCATTTTCAGTTTTTGAAGATGAAATTTCCAGGACCGAAATTTTACAGTTTTGACTGAATTTCTCACCCGCAACCAATTAGTAAGTCAACTATGGGTGGCATATGACACGATTGAGGTGCTGGAAGTTTGATTTCGGTTGGAGGAAGCCCACAGCAGAAAGCTTAACAAAACGAAAAGTTGTATTTTCAAAAGTCCGTCCCATTTTCAAATATGAAATTTTCTGAACACAAATTTGACAGATTGGATGAAATTTTTGCCCAGAAACCAATCAGTCAGTTAATTGATGATGGTATGAAACCAAATTGGGATACTGGAAGTCAAAATCCAGAACAAAATTGTAAAATCATATTGTCCCAATCTCTGTCCCATTTTCAGTTTTTGAAGATGAAATTTCCAGGACCGAAATTTTACAGTTTTGACTGAATTTCTCACCCGCAACCAATTAGTAAGTCAACTATGGGTGGCATATGACACGATTGAGGTGCTGGAAGTTTGATTTCGGTTGGAGGAAGCCCACAGCAGGAAGCTTAACAAAACGAAAAGTTGTATTTTCAAAAGTCCGTCCCATTTTCAAATATGAAATTTTCTGAACACAAATTTGACAGATTGGATGAAATTTTTGCCCAGAAACCAATTAGTCAGTTAATTGATGATGGTATGAAACCAAATTGGGATACTGGAAGTCAAAATCCCGAACAAAATTGTAAAATCATATTGTCCCAATCTCTGTCCCATTTTCAGTTTTTGAAGATGAAATTTCCAGGACCGAAATTTTACAGTTTTGACTGAATTTCTCACCCGCAACCAATTAGTAAGTCAACTAAGGGTGGCATATGACACGATTGAGGTGCTGGAAGTTTGATTTCGGTTGGAGGAAGCCCACAGCAGGAAGCTTAACAAATCGAAAAGTTGTATTTTCAAAAGTCTGTCCCATTTTCAAATATGAAATTTTTTGAACACAAATTTGACAGATTGGATGAGATTTTTGCCCAGAAACCAATCAGTCAGTTAATTGATGATGTTATGAAACCAAATTAGGATACTGGAAGTCAAAATCCTGAACAAAATTGTAAAATCATATTGTCCCAATCTCTATCCCATTTTCAGTTTTTGAAGATGAAATTTCAAGGACCGAAATTTTACAGTTATGACTGAATTTCTCACCCGCAACCAATTAGTAAGTCAACTATGGGTGGCATATGACACGATTGAGGTGCTGGAAGTTTGATTTCGGTTGGAGGAAGCCCACAGCAGAAAGCTTAACAAAACGAAAAGTTGTATTTTCAAAAGTCCGTCCCATTTTCAAATATGAAATTTTCTGAACACAAATTTGACAGATTGGATGAAATTTTTGCCCAGAAACCAATCAGTCAGTTAATTGATGATGGTATGAAACCAAATTGGGATACTGGAAGTCAAAATCCTGAACAAAATTGTAAAATCATATTGTCCCAATCTCTGTCCCATTTTCAGTTTTTGAAGATGAAATTTCCAGGACCGAAATTTTACAGTTTTGACTGAATTTCTCACCCGCAACCAATTAGTAAGTCAACTATGGGTGGCATATAAGACGATTGAGGTGCTGGAAGTTTGATTTCGGTTGGAGGAAGCCCACAGCAGAAAGCTTAACAAAACGAAAAGTTGTATTTTCAAAAGTCTGTCCCATTTTCAAATATGAAATTTTCTGAACACAAATTTGACAGATTGGATGAAACTTTTGCCCAGAAACCAATTAATCAGTTAATTGATGATGGTATGAAACCAAATTGGGATACTGGAAGTCAAAATCCCGAACAAAATTGTAAAATCATATTGTCCCAATCTCTATCCCATTTTCAGTTTTTGAAGATGAAATTTCAAGGACCGAAATTTTACAGTTATGACTGAATTTCTCACCCGCAACCAATTAGTAAGTCAACTATGGGTGGCATATGACACGATTGAGGTGCTGGAAGTTTGATTTCGGTTGGAGGAAGCCCACAGCAGAAAGCTTAACAAAACGAAAAGTTGTATTTTCAAAAGTCCGTCCCATTTTCAAATATGAAATTTTCTGAACACAAATTTGACAGATTGGATGAAATTTTTGCCCAGAAACCAATCAGTCAGTTAATTGATGATGGTATGAAACCAAATTGGGATACTGGAAGTCAAAATCCTGAACAAAATTGTAAAATCATATTGTCCCAATCTCTGTCCCATTTTCAGTTTTTGAAGATGAAATTTCCAGGACCGAAATTTTACAGTTTTGACTGAATTTCTCACCCGCAACCAATTAGTAAGTCAACTATGGGTGGCATATAAGACGATTGAGGTGCTGGAAGTTTGATTTCGGTTGGAGGAAGCCCACAGCAGAAAGCTTAACAAAACGAAAAGTTGTATTTTCAAAAGTCTGTCCCATTTTCAAATATGAAATTTTCTGAACACAAATTTGACAGATTGGATGAAACTTTTGCCCAGAAACCAATTAATCAGTTAATTGATGATGGTATGAAACCAAATTGGGATACTGGAAGTCAAAATCCCGAACAAAATTGTAAAATCATGTCGTCCCAATCTCTGTCCCATTTTCAGTTTTTGAAGATGAAATTTCCAGGACCGAAATTTTACAGTTTTGACTGAATTTCTCACCCGCAACCAATTAGTAAGTCAACTAAGGGTGGCATATGACACGATTGAGGTGCTGGAAGTTTGATTTCGGTTGGAGGAAGCCCACAGCAGAAAGCTTAACAAAACGAAAAGTTGTATTTTCAAAAGTCCGTCCCATTTTCAAATATGAAATTTTCTGAACACAAATTTGACAGATTGGATGAAATTTTTGCCCAGAAACCAATCAGTCAGTTAATTGATGATGGTATGAAACCAAATTGGGATACTGGAAGTCAAAATCCTGAACAAAATTGTAAAATCATATTGTCCCAATCTCTGTCCCATTTTCAGTTTTTGAAGATGAAATTTCCAGGACCGAAATTTTACAGTTTTGACTGAATTTCTCACCCGCAACCAATTAGTAAGTCAACTATGGGTGGCATATAACACGATTGAGGTGCTGGAAGTTTGATTTCGGTTGGAGGAAGCCCACAGCAGAAAGCTTAACAAAACGAAAAGTTGTATTTTCAAAAGTCTGTCCCATTTTCAAATATGAAATTTTCTGAACACAAATTTGACAGATTGGATGAAATTTTTGCCCAGAAACCAATCAGTCAGTTAATTGATGATGGTATGAAACCAAATTGGGATACTGGAAGTCAAAATCCCGAACAAAATTGTAAAATCATATTGTCCCAATCTCTGTCCCATTTTCAGTTTTTGAAGATGAAATTTCCAGGACCGAAATTTTACAGTTTTGACTGAATTTCTCACCCGCAACCAATTAGTAAGTCAACTATGGGTGGCTTTTAACACGATTGAGGTGCTGGAAGTTTGATTTCGGTTGGAGGAAGCACACAGCTTAACAAAACGAAAAGTTGTATTTTCAAAAATCCGTCCCATTTTCAAATATGAAATTTTCTGAACACAAATTTGACAGATTGGATGAAATTTTTGCCCAGAAACCAATTAGTCAGTTAATTGATGATGGTATGAAACCAAATTGGGATACTGGAAGTCAAAATCCCGAACAAAATTGTAAAATCATATTGTCCCAATCTCTGTCCCATTTTCAGTTTTTGAAGATGAAATTTCCAGGACCGAAATTTTACAGTTTTGACTGAATTTCTCACCCGCAACCAATTAGTAAGTCAACTAAGGGTGGCATATGACACGATTGAGGTGCTGGAAGTTTGATTTCGGTTGGAGGAAGCCCACAGCAGGAAGCTTAACAAAACGAAAAGTTGTATTTTCAAAAGTCTGTCCCATTTTCAAATATGAAATTTTCTGAACACAACCTTGACAGATTGGATGAAATTTTTGCCCAGAAACCAATTAGTCAGTTAATTGATGATGGTATGAAACCAAATTGAGGTTCTTGAAGTCAAAATCCCCGACAATATGGAAAAATAATATTCTCCCACTTCTTTTCCCATTTTCAGATTTTGAAGACTCATTTTCCAGGACTGAATTTTTTAAAATTATTTGTCAGTGTTTTGTTTACTGGGCAGCGCTCAGCCTGTCATTCCGCCAAATCTCTATTAGGATTATGATTATGAACATAAATATAATAGCCTGGGGTCCCCAGGTAATGTTTTGTAAGATTATTCAATGCTGAAATTTAAAAAAAGTATTTTTATAACAGGATGAACTCATCTCATGACGCTTAAATCACCAATATGTATACCTTCAGCATGAGCAAACGTTATAACAGTATAACACAGATGAGGGCTAGTAACATATGCAAAACCATATTGTATCTTTACATTGTACTCTGTAGTGAACTCAAACCATTGGGATTGTGTTTTGAAACCTTCCCTGGTGACGGTGTCATTGGCACGTGATGTACTCCCACTAGCAAATTGGTCGCATTTTACTTATTACGTCAGCAGTCGATGGGGTCCAAAAATAAAATCAGTTTATATCGGGTTATTATACGAATAATAATATTTTTTTTACATTTTTTCCCGTCAACCAGAGCTTCCGTGGCGCAATCGGTTACAGTTGCGTTCGACTGTTAATCGAAAGGTTGGTGGTTCAAGCCCACCCGGGAGCGAGATCTTTTGTTTTATGGATTTATTTTTTATTGTACTACTATTATAGGTATGTATAGAGGTGATGAAGAGTGGCGCTCTAACAAAACTTTAGGATCGTTGATGTGCACTGTTAAGGATATCAAGAATCGAATATTCCTTGGTAATGTTGCCTTTAGTAAATTTCAGAAAGTTTGGATGAAGAGCAAGATTTCAGTCCAAAGGAAGATCAAAATCTACGAGGCACAAGTAGTCTCTATTCTACTCTACAACTGCAACTCCTGGGCTGCACCACTAGCTTCGTTGAATGAACTTGATATTGCTCATCGCAAACACCTCCGAAGAATCCTCAACATCAGATGGCCTACTGGGGTTATTTCTAATGAGGCACTCTATGCTCGTTGTTATGTCACTCCCTTGTCTGTGAGGGTCTCTAAGTTTCGATGGAGAATGTTAGGACATATCTTAAGAGGACAGGAAGACTCACCAGCATACACCTCTATGTTATTTGCTATAAATTCTGATATTTTTATGGAAGGGAGACGGGGTAGACCATGTTTAAACTTATTAGATGTTATTAGAAAAGACTTGACTAGTAGAAATCTTGATATTAGACTTAAGAATTTGACTGATTTCGAAGACCTTAGATTTTTAGCTTTAGATAGGGAGGAGTGGAAGAAGTTAGAAGATGGTTGATGTTTTTGTTTTCTTTTTTATGCGTTTTGATATCTATAAGGTGCCTAGGATGCTCTTTTAAAGAGATATTTCGTACTTTGAAAGATTTACTACTACTACTATTATATGTACTCATAGTAAATTATGAGCCTCAGCCTGACCAAAAATGTTCATAAGTTGAAAGAAGACCCCATTTCACGAAATTAAGAAGGCCTGTTATGCAAGAAACTATCAGATTCCCACATCCAGAAAGTTTTATATTTCCTCCCAGATGCGTTTTTTTCTAAATTCTGTGGCCCGCTCGCTTCGCTCGCAAGTTTGGGGAGGGGGCTGTCGGCGAACGGAGCGAGTCGACGTGTCCAATCCAGCTGCGCAGCGAGCGAAGCGAGCAAGCTGTGGCAGGGGTCCAGGGGCGGAGCCCCTTGGCGGGGGCTAGGGGGCGCAGCCCCCGGAAATTTTTTGCGAAATAGGGTGTTTTAGACGGCATTTGGCATTAAAGAAATTTGTAGGACAGCAATAAACTGGGAATGAAAAGAATCAAGTACTCACGTAAATTTGGTAACTTCACAACAGCAATCTGCATTCTCCAATCAGAATATTTCACTGTGTTCCAAAACTGACAGGATGTTCCTCTTTGATTTTTATACAATCGAAACATTTTCTTCAAAAATTTCCTCAATTAATTTGTCTTTATTCCAAAAAAATATTTCGAAATTTAGGAGTAACTTCTCAAAAATTTCCTCTTTTTCCCCGTTTTTCCTCCCAAAAAAAAAATTTCCTCCAAGGCTGCTTTGCAAGATTGCGTGTTTCTGGATGTGGGATCAGATTAAGAAATATCGAAGGAAACGGCGAGATTTGGATCAGGTGGACAATTTGATACCAGAACGTGAAATTAAAAAAGTTTCAAGACCATATTACTTACAAGATTTCACGAAGTCAATGTAACATTTTGGTTTGTATTGGTTATTTGTTAAAAAACAGAATAAATGCTAACATTTCCGGCCACTTTTTACTACTCTATTGTCATCAGTTACATTTACCAAAAATACAAGAATGGCAATAAATTTGGCAGATAAACAGAAATCTTATTGCATCTGCCCTTACCAGAAAAATAATCGGAATAACGCAGCTGGAAGACAAAAGTCAAGCAGCCTGATACGGGACTCGAACCCGTGACCCTCAGATTAAAAGTCTGATGCTCTACCGACTGAGCTAACCAGGCTTGTGCTGCATTTGCATTTTGAAATTATATATATTAGTGCGCTATCAGGTACGGCATAAATTTGTACGTGTTTAGTGTTCACTTCGGTATCAGAATGATTTTGATTAATTAGAAATACGATTTAATTCAGCCCTTCGATAACTTGACGTTTGACAAGCAATCAAGTTATCATTTCTTGTTTCTTTGACCCTCCGATGCGACTGTGATGTTACAAATGTAACACTTGCTAACAAGCTGGTAACAAGCTGGTAACAAGCTGGTAACAAGCTGGTAACAAGCAACACGAGTTGGTTCAATGGAAGGAAAATTCATGAAATCAATTAACTTAATTAATGACCCACGATGTAGTAAAAGTTGACGAGAGGACGTAATTCACATGATGAAAATAAAGTTAACCGAAAAGGTAAGTTGAAACAGACAAGTCGGTACGTGATATTAAGTATGAACATGTATGTGATGACTGATTACTGATGATTCAATTGTTAGAGGCAGTCTGTCGGAGGGACTGTTAATTGAGTTGATAGGGTAAATACTGGTAGGGTTATGGGAGGATATACAATTAATATCTCGGGGTATGCAAGCGTGTATATATTTCCAATGTATGAAGTGTGATGTGAACAGCGTACACTATCCATTATTATGTACTTTGTACAGTATACATAGTACACTATACTGAGAGGTACAACCTTTATATACCCAAATTTAGAACACATAAAAGCTTTTCTTATTTGGGAGCAAAATGTTGGAATTCAGTCCCAGTGAGCATAAGAAATATAGTATGTACTGCCAAATTTTCACAATGTATAAAATCCTCGTTTACGTTTGATTTAATTAATGGTGTCTCATCATATGCTAGGATAGCGGGGTCCCCTGTGTATACGTGCATTTGTTACCAAACCAAGTAATTCACAAAGTTTTTATTTAAATTTTATTAAAAGAAGTATAGAACTGTATGCCTCTCTTACTTGCAACCCTACCACAACCAACCTGGTGTCCTTTTATTCTAAAATGGTTCTGTACTTCTCCAAAATGTTTACTTGTACCTATATATAATTGTTCATAATTCTGACGAAATGTCAAAGTGGGTATCTATGTAATTTTCGTAATAATTTAATGGTTACCTTCATGCCCACAGTTCAATGTTTCAACCTACCATACTTTATACTCATTTACTTATTATTCATATACTATAATATGTTATGATTCTTAGTCCTTAGAAGGGCACTCTATAGTCTATTAACAGTTTTTGACTGATTTGAATGTCCTGCACGGCAGATCTTTGTTGTGTACTGTATATTATTATTGTGTTGCTGTGTAAATTCTTACAGTAAATAATACTCCATCTTAAATTCCACCAGAACAATTAAGAACGATTGACCACTATTTTACCATATTGTGTTTTCCCAGCAGATCATGTTTGATTTCTAACTATATATTCTCATTTTTTGTTTTTTACTCTACTTTACTTAATCGATTTGTAAAGGGCGATATCACTGGAATAAAAATGAAAAACGAAATTTCTATTCGAATTATGATTTAGAAAATATTGTCATAACACAATTTCGTTTTAAGTTCAAGATCTCACATATTATATCATTAAATTAAATAAATCATGTAGCAACAAAAATATGCACTACAATTAAATCAATATAGGAGATACCTATCAATCAAATACTTCCTCCTTATATGAAGCAAACATAAATGTTTTATACAAACAGGATAAAAGACTAGGAACGTGATAAAAGATAAGGAACATATAACATTAAATAAAACTGATAAAACAGATATCTCTTCTATAAAAACTGATAAGAGACTAATTATGTGCTAGCAAGGAACATTACATAACACTATAATAAACTTCCCATTAATTTACTGTCACTTCTCCACAATATCAACTCAGTTAACCGGTAGATGGCCAGTTAGTGACGTCCTGTAGCAGTTGATGACGTCACATATCAGCTAATGACGACACAGATCAGCTGATGACGTCACAGAGCATTTTATCACACTAGGCGTTGTAAGTAGTGGATGAGACCCGTCCTCCTTGTCCGGTCCAGTCAGTGTGGACGTAAGTTTTGGGGTTGTCCAGCATCTCGTACGTGTGAGCTCCGAAGTAGTCCCTCTGAGCCTGAGGGATATGAAGGTTAAAATGCTGAAAGAGGGAAAGAGGGGGGGGGGGTGGACGGGGGAAGATAGGCAGGAGAGGGAGGGGCCGGGGAATTTAACCTTACATAAACGATATATCACTGAGTAACAAGTTAACTGAAATAAGTAAGTAGGATTGAGCAGTATGTATTTTGTATATTGTATATTGTATATTGTATATTGTATATTGTATACTATACAGTATACATACCTGAATAAGATTAGCGGGTAGTCTCTCGCTTCTGAATCCGTCGTAGAAAGCAAGAGCAGAAGAGAAAGCAGGAACAGGGATGCCCAGGGTTACTGCTGTGGCTATCACCTTCCTCCATCCATCTTGGCACTTGTTAATCGCTTTCTGAGGATACACGGTTAGTGACAATGATTTACATTGATCACATCAACATTCAACATCCATATTACGCGGTATACTGCTAAAAACTGCGCTCCTTAACATTTAAATTTACAATTACAACTTACTTTAAAGAAGTCGTCCAGAAGCAGATTTTCAAGTTCAGCATCTTTATCGTATGCCTCTTTAATGTTTCCCAGGAACACACTCCTAATGATACATCCTCCTCGCCACATCAGGGCAATACCTAAACATACAGATACCATTACAACCGTTTCCGTACATATAAAATAATCAAGATTTGGGATTTTTTCGATCCCCGGAATTATGTCTAATATAAATATGTCTTGTAAAATATATATTTAAAACGTATTATTCAATGGAGCTACCTCCGTAGTTGAGGGTCCACCCGAATTCTTTAGCAGCTTGTCTCATCAACATAAAGCCTTGTGCGTAAGATATGATCTTGCTTGCGTAGAGAGCCTGTCTAATAGCTTCAATGAACTCGTATTTACCGCCCTTATATTTAGTATCTGCTGGTCCACTGAGTTGAGTGCTGGCAGTGACTCTCAGATCCTTCAGAGAGGATAGGCACCTGGAGAGAGGTTAGTTCAACTTAGTTTTCGTCAATCTTGTTCATGTTGTTAATTGACATTGTTGGTTTTTATCCTGATATGTATTTTGTTATCTATTTTGTTATCTAAACGAGTTAAAGATGTAAATTAGTAAACTGACCTGGCGAAGACTGCCTCACTGATCAAAGTCAGTGGAACGCCCATATCCAGTGCCGAAATTCCAGTCCACTTGCCCGTTCCTTTCTGTCCAGCTCTATCCATTATCTTCTCCAGCAGAGGACTACCGTCCGTGTCTTTGAATGCCAGAATATTTGCTGATATTTCACACAGGAATGAGTCTAACTCTCCTTTGTTCCACTCATTCATAACCTGAGTGACAATAGTACAGGTCGTTACTATCCACAGTTATTGTAGTGGTATAACTATCTGCTGTCATGGATCAGCGGTGTGTAATTGTACAATAGTAGCGGATAAAGCGGGAATATCACGTGCGACTAAGAGAATGTCACGTGTGACTAAAGAGGGTGAACGGACCGAATCACTACATGACTGAATCCATAACGGACTGAATCACTACCAATCACTATTGGTAGGGATTGAGGTATATTTTAGGACTGAATCACTACCGGACTGAATCACTACCGCTAATATCTAAACCTAACCACTTTGATGTGATCCCTACTGAACTTTGCAATAAAGGCATAATTATTCGTATTTCATTGTTGTTGGTGATCTTCATGTCTGTCAAAGCCTGCTCCCTCTTGATGCACTCTATGACAGTTGACCAAGGAGGCGAAGCCGCTGTTCCAACCCTCTGCGATGTTGCTGGAGCGAGGTAGTAACATCTGGGACGCTTCGTGGTGATTCCAGGAGTCGTGCCTGAAGAGAGGAGGGGTGGAGGTGGTTCCGATCCATGTCGACTAAAAGTATCTTGCGGGTTTATATATTATTCCCGCTAGCTGATTGAGATACCGAGCATGTGAAGGTTCACATCACTGTATTGTCGTATAGCAGGTCATTATGGATGACTTGATCCGAACCAGTTCTCGTTAGGGCTCCTCGTTGCGTACGTAAGTCTGTGGATCACATGTCTGACAGGCCCCATAGCAAGCACTCCATGAGAGCACCGGCTCATGATATTAGACTTAAGACTAGTGAACTAAGATCAACTGGTAGGGATTGAGGTATATTTTAGGACTGAATCACTACCGGACTGAATCACTACCAGTAGTGATATTTGGGTGGTAGTGATTCCGTCCGGTAGGGATTCAGTCCTACAATCACTAAAGAGAATATCACGTGCGACTAAAGAGAATGTCACGTGCGACTAAAGAGAATGTCACGTGTGACTAAGTTGTAAATATCCCTGAAGTTAAACACCCCCCTTTTTGTTGTTGTTAAATAAATTGCTTGTTTAGTGCCAGGTGTAATTGTGGAAATTTTAGGGCTATTATTGTCAAAAACCACCCCCTCTCTTACCTGAGACATCTCATCACAGCTCATCCCCAGAGCTTGTTTCATGAGACTGTAAGCCTCACAAATGAGCTGCATGTCCCCGTACTCTATACCATTGTGTACCATCTTGACATAGTGGCCGGCACCCTGATCTCCAACCCAGTCGCAACAGGGTTCTAGAGCTGGTCCTGCTTTAGCGGAGATACTCTGGAATATATCCTTCACATGTGGCCTGTAACAAGAGGTGGTTAGTGGGGTTGTTAGTGAGGTGGTTAGTGAGGTGGTTAGTGGGGTAGAGTAAGCAGCATTGGGGGTTTCTCATTTTAATTGCTTAGTAAATAGTGTTAAGGGAAATGAGTTCCGAGTAGAATCCAAACTCGTTTAAAACACGATGTCGAATGGCAGTTTAAACTACAAAGTCCTCGAGATATATGAAGATTATTTGACTCCTTATTTGAGATCCTTAAGAAGGAAAGAAGTGATCAGGACTATGACTAACTGATAACTGAAACTAGTTCCCAAACTTACCAAGCTTCAGTATTACCACCCGGCATAATACTAGGACCGTATCTAGCCCCCTCCTCTCCTCCTGAGACACCAGTACCGATGTAGAGGATTCCCTGCTCTGCCAAACTCTTACATCTCCTGTTAGTGTCCGTATACTCGGAGTTACCTGCAATCATACTTTTAGATAACTCATAAGTTGTACTGTGTACAATGGATGATACCAAAAGAAGCGAAATTGGCCTCAAAGAAATTCCTCTGACAAGTGGAACTGACCGCCGTCTATGATAATGTCTCCTTTGTCGAGTAATGGGACTAGCAAGTTGATGAAGGTATCGACAGCTGCTCCAGCCTTTACTAACAACATTACTCTCCGGGGTTTCTTCAGAAAGGATACCATTTCCAGCAGCGATTTTGCTCCAATGATGTTCGTTCCTGAGAGCACATGTTATTAACAAAATCAAATCATTTGAAAGATGATTCAAATATCGCGGTGAACAATATTTCTAAATGGTTGGGTAATGCTTTCCTTGGAAATATGCTGGTTGAGGTAAGGGCTGTATTGAAAGTATAAATGAAATATCGTGGCCCAAAATATGCGGGCCTACTATGATTTGAGGGGGTTTTGAAGTGTTATGTACTTCTGTACGTAAATCGAATTTCAAAACTCGTATATTTAAACCATGTGTTTTAGATTGTGCTGCGCGGGAAATTTTTACTTTGTATAGAATTATTAAATTTGCGCGTTACAAAAAATGCAACAAAATTGTAAAATCATACTATCACGCCTGATCGTATCCTTTTACAGGGTGAAATTATAAATCCCAGGACTGCACGATTATGTCAAATCACCATACATCAATCTTCATCTATTATTCAGTTTGAACTGTAACAGATAAGGAATGACTAAGCAATAGACATAATCACTAAGCAATACTAATAGTCATGCAGTAGCCAGTAACATGAAATAATGATATTCCTTACTTCCCTGGATTTAAAAGTAAGCTTTATTGTATTTGCATTACACGCCATAAAATACTGGCCCTAACTTCAAAAATATATTGATTTTATAATTTACTCTCTGAACAGCGAACTACAATGTCAATGTCGTAAGGTAGGACTTGAGGTAATCTATAATTATGATCGAGTACTTCTTTGAGGTTTTAAAAGTTTAAAACAGTTTAAAAGTAATATCTGCATTAAATTATCCATTTAGAGACCATTTAGTTCAGGTTTACATTTGGATAAAGAGTATATGAGGACTAGGGAGTAGGGTTAACTTTAGTGTAAGTTTTTCTCATCAGAGACACATTATATGTCTAGACACTACATAAATTCAACACTTTTAGTGCTGCATAAAATTTTACTTAATTTATTATTTATTATTTATTTTCCTACCTTAAAACGCCCAATAACTACGAACTCTTTTATAACACTTCCTACGCAAACATTTGACCTCGATTAGTATATCCAATATTCATCAGCCAAGCATCCACAGATAATATAAATAACCCACCCGGTACTGCTGAATATTTTTATCCCACATGCCCCAGGTAATAATACTGAATGGTAGGTCGTACTAGTCACTAACAGGTCTCATTACGAAATTGGGAGTCATTACGGCAGGTGGCGGGCTAAATAAACTGTACAATGAGGAGAAGTCAGTAGTTAATCTCAGATATAATGCTATAATAGCAGAACAATGCTAGTTTTGCAGACCAGCGATATACTTATACTAGTAACATTAGCTCAGTTTACTCTAATAGTTTATACCTACAATAAATATCATCTCCTGACAGTGACAATATGACATATGAGGAAACTTCTTCCACATCTAACCACATACACACACACTCGACAAGTCCTGCTACCATACACTCGACAAGTTTAGCAAGGATGGCCAACCGGTGCAGTGGGTGACACGTTTTACTGGTAGAGTGAGCTAACACTGACACCACAATAAAAGCTAAAATTTACATTACAATAACAATCACACCAGCCTGGATAACGGATGTTTGTTTAGATATTGCATATAATGCTCTTCATTTACAAACTTTTAATAGCGTGAAAAGAATGAGAGCGTCCAAAAACTTACCCTTAGCTTCGTTAGCCATGAAGTCATCCACCTTCGAGACAGTTCGGTTGAAAGCGCAAACCTGAAAATTGGGAGAAGTTAAATTATCAATGTTAGTACCAATGCTTAGAATCCTAGGAGTTTGGGACAGTAAGTATGTCGTTAGTTACATTACACATTTGTAGCAATTGTTTAGACATTAAACTCGGCTATTCGAAGCCCCCTCTCCTATGAGCAATAAGGTTATATTTTTTAAACACTACAAATCTAAATTTACGTTTATTGAGGCTCTAATGATGTAGTTTTACGAAGATTTCAAGCCTTACGTTCAAGTGCGTTTCCCTGATCGAGTTCAAACGCATTATATATTTCAATAATGTACAATGTGCATGTTGGAGCCAACCATACTACACTATAATAAACATTTCAGTTGATATTCAAACCTTTACTTTGTAATGATAGTAACCATTATAATCCACCAATAATAACTTCTTCGTCAAGATAAACGGTTAGATTAAGAAATACCATGCTCTTTAAAGCTATATCAGTATATCACTGTACTTATTTGGTACTCACCTTGAAACCGTGATCGTTCATATTAAGGATAATATTCTGCCCCATAACAGCTAGCCCTATCAGGGCGATGTCAGCTCTGAAAATGATATTACTCATATTACTGGATACATACTAGATATAACCTTATTACTGGAGTTTTAACACTCAGGTTACAACATTGCAAGATACCTCACGGATTATACCAGTTTGAGACAGCTCTATGTAGAATGTAGACAATTAAATAGTTTGTAAGTAAACTCACTGTGGTTTAGAGTTAGCCATGGTAGGGTTTCCTTCACCTATAAAGATGTTTAGTTTGAAACTAGAAATATCTCAAAAAGCATTTATTTGATTGAGGCAATTGAAAGCAATTTAAGTTTAAATGTGCAATCTGTTCAATATTCTTGAATTGTCTAGGCTTGGTTAGTGCAATTAAACAAGTTTTATCAAAACAATTTTTATAAAATAGCAGCTAACAAGCTTTCGGCCGGGTGGTGTAGTGGTAACACGATCGCCTCCCAAGCAGAAGACCTGGGTTCAAATCCGGTCGGATGCAAGTCGACCAGTTACCAAGCTGTGATTTGGTACAGTTTCGGCTGGTGATACACACTCTCTGGCTCGTAGGACTAACCCCCCTACAGCTAGTATAGTGCCTCGGCACAGAGTGGCTTAGGGTTACTGAAAAGGAGATAAGCACCTTAGGCCATCCCAACGTTCGGGAGAGACCTGGCCTTGTATCTTGTATTGTATTGTATCATTGATTCAGTCTTGGCAGTAAGCAGTGAAGATAGTAAAATCTCCAGTAACTTTAACACTAACATGAGGGACCACAAAGACCACATCACCAGGTGAGATATTCTCAGCACAGTCCCCGGAACTGACAGTTCCACTTCCCTCTGTACACAACATGATCTGGGGACTTGCCTTGTTCACCAGGGTTAGTGGTTTATTGTTAGGCCACACCCTGTCCACTGCAAAGTCTTTAACAGGTGGCACGTACATCCTGATGTTATCTCCCTTAGTTCGTATAGGTGTTAGTTTCTGTGATGCTACAGATCCAGGGGTGCAGTCCACCATGTTCACCAAGGTATCCACATCTGAAAACTTGACAGTCAACCCCGCTCTGATTACATTGTCACTGCAGGCCATGCACTCGACACAGTCTCCACTGAAATATGCGTGAATTTTGTTAGCCCCGAGGAACATGCACTCTCCTGGCTGTAGTATCACGTGGTTTAGCAGATAAATGCAAACCAGACCACCATCTCCTGGGTGTTGCGCATGAATCCTGTTAAAGAGCTCATCACTTGCAGACAAGTCACTGCTTCTATCTAGCGCTTCCTTTACGATATCTGCAGATTTCTCCAACTTTATCAACTCTTCGAAAAGCTTCTTAATAAAAGAGATTTCATCAATAACTGATTGTTTCCCATAGTTAATGATATCCACAATCTCCTTAGATAAATGGGAATGAAGCTCCTTGTGAGCCTTCATGTTCTCCAGAATCTCGTTAACAGGCCTAAACCCACAAAGTCCCTCAAACACAGTGAGTGCTATAGCCATCTCAGGTTTGTGGTTAGGGTCTGGGTAATGTTGTGGATCTCGAGCATGCAGCTCGGCTGCGTGTTCTTTAGTTGGGTGTACCTGTAATGACAGGGCTTTGTCAATGCTCAGTATCTTGAGTAAGAACGGCAAGTCCCCATTTTCTTTACCAGAGATAGCAGGACATACACTTCCAAGACGTGAGTTGAGGTCCTCTCCAATCCAGTCACTTAGTTTCTGTCCTGTCTGTTTGACAACAGAATGGCCTCTGGGATGTGTTCCCATCCAAAGTTCAGCAAAGGGCTCCGTTTTGTGAGAGTTTTTTGTAAATTCTGCAACCAAGCTTTCTGCTGCTGATTTACCCCAAGCATAATTCTGTACGCTACAGGTGAGTTTCACTATCTGGGACATGATTTTCACCTTATAAATTGGCGAATTAAAGCATCAGTTCTATCAAATAATCGTACATATATCAAACCGATTTCATATTTATACAGTATACAGTATACTATACACTATACATTAATCTACAGTAAGCAAATACCTTTGTGCTCACAAGGTTAGCTTACATGAAACAGATCAGACTATGAAGAAAGAGAAACGAAAACGAACATTCTTCAATAATCAGCTATAAATACAAATTCTGTTCTATGGTGTTGATCACGAGTCACACCAATATGTGTGCACGTATGTATATGTAGACAATAAATAATGCACTTTAAACGAAAGGTGACCACATATGAATGTTATGAAACAATGATTGACTTCCAACAGAGATCTTGACAATTTTCATTTTACAACTACTTAATAGCAGTTAATTGCAGTTGCAGTTAATCAACAGCCATATAACCTGATCAGAAAAATTATTAACAGAAAAACTTGATAACTTGCAGACTGCAGCTTTTTGCAATATAAATTATGTGTCTTACCCCTATCTGTCTCTCTGGAAATGAAAGTAGATGTAACAATGAGAGATGAAGTAAAGACCAGATAAAATTGTAATGCAAGGTGAATAAGAGTCAAATAAATGAAAAAATGACTAGATAAAGAATTTAGAAAAGCCTACAATTGAGTCATATTTCAAACCCATACAAATATAATCTCTGAAACATTTACGAATTTTACGAATTTGTCATTGTATCTTGTCGAACTATAGTCATCCAAATGTTGCCAAAAACGTAAAACAGCACAGCACAGGGTTTGGAAACGATATAATGATCATTCAAACTTTGATACTGTCAACTTATGGAGATCAAAGAGTGATAATGACAATGGGGAGGTTACAATGGGGACAAAGCAGTAGGGAGGAAACAATGGACGTTTTTAGTCAAGATGGGGTAGGGTAAAGGGTCTATTCAACTCAAGACAAACTGCTATTCAAGTACCAATACAATTGGTATAAAAGAACAAAAAGACAAAAGAATATGAATACTGATAACAAGAGAACACTTAAGACAAGAAGATGCCATCCACTCCCTCAAGCTCAAGTAAACTATTCAATTTACAATTATATTGAGAACACCCAATGATAATTATGATTCGAAGTTTTCTGTGTGCGTGTATGACTGCCCACACGGAAAAAATTAAAAGATTACACAGCAACGAGGGTAGAAACGTGCAATGCACCTAAAATGAATATTAAAACCTAAGCACATTAAGGTTATTACGTTGTGTGCAGTGTCTAACACACATAATCTTTACCTTTGCTCTGGTGGTTGATTTAATGTGATAAAAACTATCAAAGAATTCTATTAGAAATTACAGCAATTTTATTCTACATACAAAGAGGACACTACCGAAAGATCAAGAATCATCTTAGGATACCCCTTCAGTACATTTACATTGTAGTGCACTCTAAACATAGTACTACACTATTATAGATGTGGATTCTCGTGGGGAGGTAAAGGTACGTTTGTTTACTTTAATAGTAAGTACCTGTTCAGCAGGAGAGAGAGGTGATGCACATTTGTTTACTTTTAAGGGTAAGTACCTGTTCAGCAGGAGAAAGAGGTGATGCACATTTTGTATTATGCAACGCTCTCGTAACGCTTGTAACTCCTTCTTGTTGCCCCCCTATAGTTCCGAATTATTTCTGAACGAAAGCTTAAAAATAACCAAGAAATCGACCTTGTTATTAACTCATTTTGATGACTGTTCTTGACCTAAAATTGCATGAGAAATCGACTTTACTAGGTTTCAGAACCTATTCTAAACACTTCCCTATCCCTCAAAATTGATGATTTATAGTTAATACGAGCAACAAGCAACATAAATTTTGCTTTTTAATCCTTCGATTCTACTCATGACCTAGGGCCTAGGGAGTTAAGCTGAAACCGAAAGATCCAGGCAATCGTCACCTTAACTGATCTAACAAGTACTAACACAATTTTCAGAGAGAAATGTTCGTTGCAATATGTTTAATGCAGCTTTGCAACTTGAGTGACACACAGCAGTTATGCAACTCATTTTGGTGACTGTTCCTCACCTAACATTGCATGAGAAATCGATTTAAGTTGGTTTTACGACATAACAACACTTCCTCATCCCTACAAATTTCGGTTTCACTAATTCACTCGCCATGGATTATAGGAAAAACGCGCTCGTTTGTATTTCGCATTGGATATAAAGATGACCAATGATATTGCAGTGTTTAAGTCACGTGCGCGTGATATAGCGCGCTTGCGTGTACGTGCTAGCTTGAGATCAGATACAAGCTTTTGTTCCAAACTCTTTCTCACTCGCTCTCTGCATTAAACCTTTTGATAAACCTATCGCTTGCAGTTTGTTGAATATCTCTGTCATCTGTCATTTGCCTTAAAGTGATACCCTTCTCGTACGCTTTTGTTATTGTTATGGTTTCAATGTCATGAGAGCTACATACATCCAAGAAAAATGTATGATTTTGGCACTTTTTTATGTGGCACTGTCCACTGTTTGTATTTTGCATTGTCGCCACGGTTGCAATCATGTGATCCATGGATTGAATTTAATTGACATAGAAATGGGCTAGATCTGGGGTAGAGTTCACATGTCAATTCTGTAAATCATTCTGTAAATCAATTCTGTAAATCATAGCTGTACATTAAGAAGTAAACATGATCTGACTGCTCCTATAGCAGCTAGTCGACGAACCCACTAGGAAGGACCAAAACATCCTTGACGTGATCCACTCCAACAATATCGATTTAATCCACGGTTTATCAGTGTCAAAGACGGAGAAATCAGACCACGTCATAGTGACCTGTAGTTTGTACTTTCCTCCACCCGCAGTTCCTACTTGAGCAACCAGCAAGGAAACAGTACAGCGCCCTGTCACAGCACTTGATGACATCAACTTCAATGCTGCTGACTGGGCCTTGATCAACAAGGAACTCACTACTGTAGACTGGTCGCCCGCCCGCTCGCCCTCCCGCTCGCCCTCCCTCCCTCCCTCCATCCCTCCCTCCCTCCCTCCCTCCCTCCCTCCCTCCCTCCCTCCCTCCCTCCCTCCCTCCCTCCCTCCCTCCCTCCCTCCCTCCCTCCCTCCCTCCCTCCCTCCCTCCCTCCCTCCCTCCCTCCCTCCCTCCCTCCCTCCCTCCCTCCCTCCCTCCCTCCCTCCCTCCCTCCCTCCCTCCCTCCCTCCCTCCCTCCCTCCCTCCCTCCCTCCCTCCCTCCCTCCCTCCCTCCCTCCCTCCCTCCCTCCCTCCCTCCCTCCCTCCCTCCCTCCCTCCCTCCCTCCCTCCCTCCCTCCCTCCCTCCCTCCCTCCCTCCCACTAGTTCCATGATCGGGACGCAACCTTACTTGAATGGTATTTGGAGATATATCTCTAGGATAATCTTGGTTTAAGCTTTTTGATGTGTAATAAATAGATTCGGGTGTAGGAACCGAGGCTCCTATTTGTTCTTTTAGAGCACATTTGGAAATTATAAATTTGAGTGTATCAGTGTAGTTGTTTGGCGTCAGCTAGACTGGCATAAGTGGTCCGCACCCGACTAACATGTAACAGCCAGCCCTCTGATTGGTCAGCGTGACTGCTATTCGATAGCTTATTGGCCAGCTTGCGTGTCACGTGGTACCCTACAAACGTGTGTTCAAGTTAATTTGCAGTAGAAATTCAACTGGGATGTTCGGTTTATTATTCTTTGTTACTCCCTGTTGGCATTCTTTAGCGCTGAATGACATCAAGACCTAAAAACCTTAGGTTCTTAACTCGACTCAGGATTGTTGTATCATGTTATTGTATTTCTGATCAATTACCTGGCTTTTCAACTGGTTGCCGGGGTAATTTCATTGGATCCTCCTGCCCGGACAGTAATAATGTCATGTTGCAGGTTTGTTACTATTAATGATAGAGTCAATTTTGTTATGAGCCTACCGTGATCTTCATTAAATCTGCTATATTGATACCCAGTGTTATAACAGGTAGTAGATAAGCTTACTGATTGTTCTACTATAGTAACTAGTAACTAGTAACTAATAACTAGTAACTAGTACCTAATGACTTTTTAGTTTAATTGGAATCAGTTACTGGTTACTTTTTCTATGAATCTATTCTTGGACTAAAGTTTTAACTTTAGTCCAAGAAAAGATTCATAGAAAAAGTTTAAAAACTTAATAAAGTGATTCAGCGGCACATGAAGAAGGTTCGAGAAGAGCGTAAGAAATTCCTGAAACATTGCCAGAAATCCCACCATGGTACGGAGTCCTCCCACCCGGGGGCTTCCCTTTAATAATGTCATGTTTTAGGTTTGTTACAATCGATCGTAACTAATATAACAATATTCTATTAACTTATGTTAAACTTAATATCATAACTTAAAATAATTATTGTTCCGGACGGTAGTGATATTGCGGGGTGTAACAAGTTTACAGTTATAACCTCACTTTATTAATAATTGTTTGGTGTAATAATTGTTTTGTTAAATTAATGATTGTTTGGTGTATTTCTCTAACCAACATAATGGTCAGGCATGTACGGAGACCTCCCTGCTAGCTCCAGCTCCTACGAGGACCTAATCCTTCTGATAGAGAAACTGATAAAACTCCTCTGTCCTGGTCTTCCGCTGATCAAGACCAGTTTGTACGAGCTGGAGCTCTTGTTCCATCCCTGGGTGGAAAGTTGGTACGCTAGTCCAGACCATGGAACATCAACGTCCTGCTGTTATTCAGAGCACTGATGTGGTTGGACGGAAATCCAGCCTCTAAAATTAGACTTGTTCTCCCCGGTATGTGGTGTTTGTGGGAAGAGTGCCGTTAATAAAAATGAATCTTCTTTTCCTGTAGCTTATATAATATCCTAATCTTGAACCCGTCTCTGATCCTGATCTAATACTGCAGTAATTATAGTGAGTAAGATAGAAGTAGTTAATAAACCTCTCCAAAAACGGTTGACAGGTCGAGTCGTGGCTAAGTAATGAACGAATGAGAGCTCATTTTTGTCACGTGACAGCACTACTATAAAATATCCCTTATT